AAATATAAATTACTTCGTTATTGTACCTAAATTAAATTATAATAAAAAATTAAATTAAAAAATTACACAAAAAATGAGAAATTTTAAATAGTTAATTTGATACGAATATCAATATATTTTTGTTATGCATAAAATACTGTATATTGATGCATATTACTTAAAATTCAATATTACAAGTAATTATGCATAAATACAACTTATTAAAGCTCGATATTTGAATTCGTATAAATAATTGCGGATAAACATAATCAAATAGAGGATGAACATCTCATTTTAAAATATAARAAATCTAAAATATAATTAGAATAATTATCGAATTTCAACAAAATAAATAATTATTATCTTTATACAAAAATTATATTATTAAACCAAATATAAATTAATTCGTTATTGTACATAAATTAAATTATAAAAAAATGAATTAAAAAATTACAGAAAAAAATGAGGAATTTCAAATAGTTAATTTGATAATAATATCGATATATTTTTGTCAAATTTTTATGATATCTTCAAACATATATTTTATTCAAAAATAAAAACATCATTGCTTTCTCAAAATCACATAAAGCCATATTATAACATCAGATGAGATAAAAAATAAAATGAAATATTAAAATCACAATGTATCTCGCTGCATTGCGCGAGTACGCTTATAGTATATTTAAAAGCATTTAAAGATAATAATACAATATAATAATAAAACGAAATAAATGCATGTGCTATATTTATTTATGGATAATTAGATAATTTATTTACTTAGTTAAAAAAATTAAATTTAATAAAGAAAAATATAAAAAATTCTATAAAAAATCACAAGGAAAATAAATAAATAAACTTATATAATCATTAATTTATAATTTTTTTATCAATTTTAATTTATATCTATACTATATTATAAAGCATTTGATAAGAATCTTAAAAACCAATTTTTATACATGAAGTATTGTTTGTTGATGTATATTATTTAAAATTCAAGATTAAAAGTAAATTATAACGTAAGTACAACTTATTAAAGTTTCATGTTTAAATCTTGTAACTAACTATAGATAAAAATAATTAAATACAGAATAAACATTTCATTTTAAATATAAAAAAATTAAAATATAATTAAAATACTCATTGAGTTTTAACATAATATTTTATAAAAAATTATATATTTTATATGCATTAT